GGGAAACCTGAAAAAGTTGAAAATAGAGTATTAGGAATGGAAGGTAAAGTAGAGGATTTAGACCAAACAGTAAAAGATCACAAAAGAATGCTAAGAAAATACAAATAGAACATGGAAGACCTCTGGGACACCATGAAAAGACCAAATCTATGAATCATGGCTATAGAAGGAGTGGAGATAAAACTAAAGGCATTGACAACCTATTCAATAGAATAATGGCTAAAAACTTCCCTAACCTCAAGAAAGAGAGAGACACTCAGGTGCAAGAAGCTTACAGAACACCAAGCTGTCATGACTAAAAAAGAAACACCCACAAACACATCTTAATCAAAACGCTCAGAGTACAGAAAGTTGCAAGAAGATTGGACAAGTCACTTATAATGGCAAACCCATTAAAATAACAGCAGTTTTCTCAACTCAAGCTCTAAACATAATGAGGTCATGGAAAGACACAATTCAGGCCATGAAAGAAAGCAACTGTCAAACTAGGCTAGTCTATCCAACAAAACTATCCTTCCTAATTGAAGGAGAAATTAAAACTGTCCACAAAAAGAAAAAAACTAAAGGAATTCATGACTACCAAGCCAGCACTACAGAAGATACTTAAACCACTTTTACAGATAAAAGAAGAAACTAGAGTGAGACAGGGAGACTCAGGAAAGAATAAACCTTTTTGACCAAGCAGACCAGTAAACAAGGAATAAGTAAAACTAAATAATAGGGGAATGGAAACAACAGGCAACTCTCAATATTACACTGAATGTAAATGACCTCAATGCCCCAGTCAAAAGACATAGAATAGCTATTGAGTTAAAAAACAAGGCCCAGCCATATGTTGCTTACAAGAGACTCATCTCAATGAAAAAAAAAAGAAAAGAAAAGAAAACACTGGGTTAGAGTCAAAGGGTCAAAAAAGGATTTCCAAGCAAATGGTACCCATAAACAGGTCTAGCTATACTCATATCTGAAAAAGTTGCCTTCAGACTAAAATCAGTCACAAGTGACAATGAAGTTCACTTCAGATTAATTGAAGGAACAATTCATCAGGATGAAATATCAATTTTTAACATATATGCACCAAACACAGGGGCATGCATCTAGATTAAAAAAAGCTAATGGGCCTATAGCACTGATAGACCCTAACATGGTCATAGATGGGGACCTGAATTACCCCACTGTCACCAATAGATAGGTCATACAGGCAAATGATCAACAAAGAAATTTGAGAGTTACTCCACACATTAGACCAAATAGACACGGTAAATATTTGTTGTTTCATCCAACAACCAGAATATACATATTCTTTTCTGTAGCTCATGGAACTTTCTCCAAAATAGATCACATTTTAGAACACAAAGCGAGTCTTAAGAAATTCAAAAATATTGAAATAAACCCCTGTATCAAATCAGAATGCAACAAATAAAGCTAGACCTCAACAACAAAAGAAACCACAAAAAATATTCAAACCCATGAAGACTGAACACCACACTGCTGAAAGACCAGTGATTGACCAAAAAATAAGGGAAGAAATCAAAAAGTTCCTAGAATTCAGCGAATATGAAAATGCAACCTATCAGAATCTGGGTGACACAGCAAAGGCCTTGCTAAGGGGAAAGTTTATAGTAATAACTGCCTATGATAAAAAACTGAGACCTCTAAAATAAAAACTTAATGATGATTTTTAAGCTTCCAGAAAAACAAGAACAAAGCAAGCCCAAAACCAGCAGATGGAGAGAAATAATGAAGATCAGGGTTGAGAGCAATGATATTGAGACCAAAACAAAACTATACAAAAAATCAATGAAACAAAAGTTGACTCTTTGAAAAAATTAACAAAATCAACAAACCCTTAGCCAATGTGACAAAACTGAGGAAGGAAAAGACCCAAATTAATAAAATCAGAGATGAAAAAGGGCACATAACCACAAATACTAATGAAATACAGAATCATTAGAGAGTACTTCGAAAACTTATATTCAAGTAAACTGGAAAATCTAGATGAAATGGATATATTGCCAGATGCTTATAAGCAAATAAAATTGAACCAAGAAGATATTAAAAACCTTAATAGTCCTATTACAAGCAATGAAATTGAAGCAGTAATAAAGATCCTCCCATAAAGAAGAGTCTGGAACCTGATGGATTCATGGCTGAATTTTACCAAACCATTACAGAAAAAGTAACACCCATACTCCTCAAACTTTTCCAGGAAATAGAAAGGGAAGGAACACTACCAAACTCATTCTAAAAGGCAGCACTACGCTCATTCCAAAACCCAATAAAGACCAACCAGAAAAGAGAATTATTGACCAATACCTTTTATGAATTTGGCCACAAATCTTCTCAAAAAATCTCTGGCAAACAGAATTCAACAACACATCAGAAAATCATACAACCATAACCAAGTCAGTTTCATTCCAGGGATGCAAGGATAGTTCAACATATGTAAAGTCATAAATGTAATTCAGCATATGCTGCAACATATGAAACAGAAGAAAGGACAAAAATCACATAATCCTCTCAATAGATATAGAAAGAGCATTTGACAAAAACCTAACACCCTTTCATAATAAATGCTCTGAAGAAACTAGGAATGGAAGGAATGTTCCTCAACATAATAAAGGTTACAAAAGACAAACCTAGAGCCAATATCGTACTAAATGAAGAATGACTGAAACCTTTCCTGTTAAATTCAGGAAAAAGAAATGGCTGTCATATTCAATATAGTTTTGGAATTCCTAGCCAGAGCAATAAGACAAGAGCAAGCAATAAAAGGAATCCAATTAGAGAAGGAAGAAGTCAACCTATCCCTATTTTCAGATAACATGGTCCTATACCTTAAAGACACTAAATATTCTACAAAAAGAAGCTATTAGAAATCATAAAGTCTTTCAGCAAAGTAACAGGATACAAAATTAACATACAGAAATCAGTAGCCTTCCTACATACCAACAACAAACAAATTTAGAACAAAATCAGGGAAACAATCCCTTTTACAATAGCCTCGAAAACAATGAAGTATCTTGTAATAAATTTAACAAAAGAAATAGCAAATTTCAGAAGATAAAAAGACCTTCCATACTCATGGTTTGGTTAAATGAACATTGTGAAAATGGCCATACTACCAAAAGCAATCTACATGTTCAATGCAATCCCTATCAAAATTCCAATGACATTCTGCACAGAAATAGAAAAATCAATCTTGAAATACATATGGAAACACAAAAGACATTGAATAGTCAAAGCAATTCTGAGCAAAAAGTCCAATGATGGAGGCATTGCAATACCCAACCTCAAATGTACCATAGGGCCATAATAATAAACAGCATGGTATTTGCACAAAAGAAGACAGGAGAGCTATGGATCAGAATAGAAGACCTAGACATAAACCCACGCATCTACAGCCAACTAATCTTTGACAAAGGAGCCCACGACTCATGATGGAGAAATGAGAGCATCTTCAACAAGTGCTGTTGGGGAAACTGGATATCCACATGTAGAGGACTGAAAGTAGATCCATGTCTCTTACCCTGTGCCAAAATCAACTCAAAGTGGATCATAGACCTTAATATAAGGCCAGAAACTTTGAAACAACTCCAGTAAGCAGTAGGGAATACACTGGGGTGGATAGGTATAGGGAATGTGTTTCCCAAATGAAACACAAAAAGGCTCAATATCTAAGAGAAAGAATGAACACATGGGACTGCATCAAACTAAAGAGCTTCTGCACAGCAAGGGAAACAGTCACCAGACTCAAGAGAAGCCCACAGAATGGGAGAAAAATCTTTGCCAGCTACTCATCAGATAAGGGACTAATATCCAGAATCTATAGGAAACTCAAAAAATTCAGTCCCCAAATAGTCAAGACCCCAGTGAAGATATGGACACATGAATTAAGCCAGGAATTCTCAAAGGAAGAGGTACAAATGTTCAGTAAATACATGAAGAAGTGTTCAACTTCCCTGGTTATAAAAGAGGTGCAAATCAAAACAACATTTTTCATTTCCATCTATATTTTATTTCTGTTACCTTTAACATAAATAGCTAGAAGTGTTTCTGAAACCCATTTATCCAGGTACCTACAATGAAAATTTTAACATCCCTTCTAATCCCTGTTTATTCTTTCTTTTTTAAAGTATTCTCTAAATGTGGTTTTCTTTTTTCTTCATTTATTCATATGTGCATACATTTTTTGGCTCATTTCTTCCCCCTACCCCTCACCCCCTTTCTTCATTCCACCCCCTCTCTCTCCCTCATTACCCCCTTGCTTCCAGGCAGGAATGGTTTTGCCCTTATCTCTAACTTTGTTGAAGAGAGAGTATAAACAATAATAAGAAGGACAAATGGTTTTTGCTAGTTGAGATAAGGATAGCTATACAGGGAGATCCTCGCATTGCTTTCATGTACATATGTGTTACATTCTAAGTTGATTCTTCCTGAACTGACCTTTTCTCTAGTTCCTGATCCCTTCTCCTATTGACCACTGTCCCTTTAAAGTTTCTGCATTAGTTTCTTTGCATTGAGGACATCAAATACTATCATGGTTGTTGGGTTTCTTACCTATCCTCATACTTCCCTTGTGTGCTCTCCCCTTATCATGTGATCAATACAACATCTAGATATCATCTCATCCCTATTACAATGGCCATAATCAAGGACAACTATAACAACAAATGTTGGCAAGGTTGCAGTAAAGCAGGAATCATAATACACTATTGTGGGAATGGAAATTACTACAAACAGTACAGAAAACAGTAAAAGACTTCAAAAAATCTAATGCTAGAACTGACCATGTGATCCAGTGATACTTCTCCTGGACATCTACCCAAGGGAACATAAGACAATATATAATAGAGACACCTGCTCACAGATGTCTGTCCTTTTCAAATGGTTTTGACTCAGATACTATCATACATTAATAACTATAGTTTGATTTTAATGTGTAAATTTCTCATTTTCTCTGTACCTGAGAAAAAGGTAAAATCAAGTTGCAATCATTTTTACAAAGATGATACTTGTTTCAGAAAGTAGCAATATGGTCTCATCTTCATTAATCTTTTCATAACCTTTATTACTTCTTGATTTCTTAGACTATAAATAAATGGATTTAATAAAGGAATTACTAGAGTATAAAAAGTAGCAATGGGTATACTTTTATCCCCTTCATTAACTGAACTTGGTTGAGCATACATGAAGAGGCCAGAACCATAGAGTATTGACACAGAGAGAAAGTGGGAGGCACAGGTAGATAAGGATTTGGATCTTCCCTCTTTGGATTTCATTGTGAATATAGTAAAAAGGATATAGAAATATGATATAAGGATTACTAAAATAGTAAAAATTAGAATCGAGCCTGCCCACATGAATAGCATCAATTCATTGATAGAAGGGTCAACACATGACAATCTATACAATGGAAGGACATCACAAAAAAAGTGATTGATTTGATGAGACCTACAGAAAGTTAACCTAAACAGTAAACCTACTTCAATAATGGAATGCAGGTTTCCAGCAATGAAAGCCCCTGAGGTCATCTGAATGCAGAGTTTCTCAGACATCCTGGTGTGGTACTGCAGTGGGCTACAAATGGCCACATAGCGGTCATAGGCCATTGCTGCCAGAAGAAAGCAGTCTGTAGTTTCAGCAAGACAGAGAAAATAAAATTGTACCATACATTCATAGAGGGAAATTGTTCTGTCCTCAGAAAAGAAGTTCTCTAACATCTTGGGAGTGATGGCACAGGAACAGCAGGCATCCATCAGAGCCAGGTTTCCCAGAAAGATGTACATTGGTGTGTGAAGCTGATGTTCCTTGTAAATCAAGGCTACCAAACCAAGATTCCCCACCATGGTGATCAAATAGATGGCAGAGAAGACCACAAACAACAGGGTCTTCAGTTCTGGATAATCTGTAAATCCTGTGAGGATGAATTCAATTGTCAAGGAGAAGTTGTCCTCAGTCATCTTTAGCTTTTCTGTGGAGATAGATATTAGTATGATACAAGATTTTATTTAAGTGTATACAGTTTTTTTTGCTATCATAACAGATAGAGGCTTTACTCATTCAATAATTTTCCCTATCTGTGGAATGAAGCATCTTGTACTTTTAGTGTGTATTTGCTTTCTTAAAATTTCAGCATCAATGATCTCATAATGTGATTCTCAGGATTAACAATGATGAATTTTGTAGTATATTATACTGGGGAGGATGCTTAAAGAGGAAAAACTATCTCTTTATATATTTATGCATGAAACTATAATGATTTGTTTTTTTCCTATTGGTTCATTGTTTCCAAATAATTTCAGTGCCATCTTTTTAAGATCACTAAAAGGAATCTAAAACAATTTTCCTAAAAATGTTTCTTTTTCTGGAATGAGAAGAGTGCTTTTATATATGATAATAAAGGAGAGATGGTCTTAGAAAACTTATAAGTAATATGTATGTCCTATATATAAATTAGAAAGATCACTAAGGATTAAATTGTAATATTTATCCTTATTTATAATTACCATGTTAATATAAAGAATACATGTGTATAGATTATCACATCTCTCATCTTTCTTTGAATGTTCCGTACTTTTTCAGAAACAGTAACTCTTTCCTTACTATTGTTCCTGTTGCTGTGTCCCAAATATCTTAATCCTTCCTCCTTTTTGTAAGGGATAGGTTATTTATAATTCTACTAAATAAAATTTACCTGAATGTTCAAAACCACACTGATCTCATTTTCTAAATTGTAGATCAGGCCTGGAATAAGCAGCACCATCCACAATTTCTTCTGTGATATCTGCATTGCTTTGTTTTTTAAACATGTGTCTAAACATTATGATATTGTTGATGGTTACATACTTCTGGAAAGGAACTAAAAGTTACTCTGGGAAGGCTGTGGGTCTAGATCAATGGTAAACACTTTGGCAGCAAGCACAATGAACTGTTTATGATCCCCAGCAACACATACACACATACATACAGAAAAAAAATAATAAATTAGGTACCCAGAAGACATAAATAATTCTAACAGTAGATCAACCCTATTGACCTGGGATGAGTTCTAGTAATGATCCTTGCAGACTTCTTTGCATTTGCACAAAGACAGTCTTCACTTTGGAGAGGAATCTATAAGGATAATTTTCAAAATAATTATCATATTATGTATATTCCTTCTATCTAAATTGACTATTCCACTATTTTTTATTCCCCATATAATTATATAAGATTCTCTATATAATGCTATAATAGTTAAAAGGTAACAAGTACAGGCTAACATTTATGTTTCAGTTTTAACACTTGTAAAAAGAGTAAATCATTTAAATCCTTGAAGAATTTTAGATTCACATTATGTTTTGGTTTAAGAATTTGTTTCCATCCAGGATGGGGGGGGAAGGGAGTATAAAGGAGAATGGTTGAAAGGGTGAAATCAAGTATGATATATTTATTATATTGTAAAATAAATGTACCCCCACCCAGTACAATAATAAAAATGTGGTTACTTGTTATTATTAAAGCATTTGTTTGGGACATACTGACTGAAAAATATGGTTACATAAATTAGAATGTCAAAATGATTTTGTATATGTAATCCAATGGACAACACTAGAAATTCGTTTGTTCTAAAATATTAAATATAAACCATGCAATTATTCAGTTAAGTTAGAAATTGCTTTCAAGCCCAGTGCCTGTGGCTCATGTCTGTAATCCTACCTTATTAGTAGAAGTTGCTTTCAATGTGCATGCCTTATGTAGTTAGTAGATTTTTGTGTGATTTTACCTGTATGTTTTGAAATCTTATTTTGTAATCAGAAAGTCATAACAATTACAGTGTTGTACTCCTTCCCTGATCCACGTATCAATAAATTTTGAAAAGCACTAGAAAGAATGTTACTAAATTTAAAGTAAAAATAAGCTAAAATTGTATTCTTATATTTGTATTTCAAAGAGTAGAGCTTTTTCAAAGTGTACCATTTGCTTAATAGTGAAGGTCTCAGAATTTTGAAGTATTTGTGGATCTTGTCCTCTAAAGCATTTGGGAATAAGATAATGAAAATCTCAATGACTACCTACAGGTCAGTGCTAGTAATTATGTCCCTTAACTACAGAGTTGAAGCATTCCATCAAATCCTAAAGGGAATTTTCTGCACTGACATCAATATATGCCTATGGGGACATAAAGTCCTGAGTAGCATAATACTTGAAATTAATTAAAGGTGTGCTGTAAGACAATGAAGTTAAAGTGAATGACCTTCACTGAAGTTTGATTGAAGATCCTATGATGTTGTGTAACTAGATAATTTTCACAGCTTTATTATATATTGTGCATAAAATGTAAAGCAGACATAAAAAAGTTTCTTGTTGGTTGAAACTCTAATTGGAAGAAGTGTAGTTAATGTAGTTTATGAAAAATAATTCATATTTGGAGAGTAAACTAGAATGTGCAACAGACTGAACAATGTTCACCAATTTCTTACTATGTGATTGTCTGCAATCCACAATCTTGTTGCCCTCAACTTGTGCTCACTTTAAGTATCTATTGTGTTTAACATTTTTTATAATCCCTTCAATTTCAGTATACGTGTGTCTTTACAACTGAAATGTGGTTTTGGTGGATATTGTTGGACTTGTCCTTTTTATTTTATTTTTATCATCATCTAGTCTAAATTTTTCATTGAGGTATATAATCCACTTCTCATGGTAAGTAAAGTGATTGTATAGCACGTCTGAAGCCCCAGGCTCATTCTCCAGAACCGCAAGAAAAGTAAGTTTTCTCCTTGATTTTGCAATTTTTTCAAGTTATTTTATTTGTCCCTTTCTTTCATTCCTTTTTTCATCTCTGTGGTTTGATGATTTTTTTTGTATTGATAAATTTGACTCTTTATTTTCCTTTTCTGTCTTTTCCCTACCAGTGGATTTTTATATTCTCACACAATTTCACCATGGTAGTTTTACTGTCCTTTCACAGTGTAGGGTATCTTTATTTATTTATTTCTTATTTATTTACTTATTTTCCCCTTTATTGTTATGATGGGTGGGGGTACATTGTGGCATTTCACAGGTTCTTACAATGTATCGACTGTATCATACATGAATTCACCTCCTCTACCATTCTTTAGGCATTTTGTTTAAGATCAGCCTGCTAGTGAGGAATTCCCTGAGTTTTCTTTGTCTTAGAACCTTTTCCTTGTCTTTAACTTCGGGAGGATAGCTTTACTGTGTACAATGCACATTCTCAAAATTTTTTTCTTTCCTCTCTGTGAATAGCATCCTACTCTCTGATCTATAGGATATATGTTGAAAAATATTATGTTAGACTGACAGGGATTAATATATATATGTGTGTGTGAATATATATATATGTATACATATATATGTGTGTCTATATACATATATATATATATATAAATTCAGTAATATGTATGTGTATATATATATATATATATATATATATATATATATATACACACACACACACACATCCCTTGATGATTTTCAACATTTATCTTCATCATGTTTTTTGCATGCCTCTCCCTTTCTTCTTTTGGAGCAGCATGAATACATGTTTTTTTACTCCTAAGCTTGGTCTTTTGTTTCCTGGCTTATGTCAAAAGACCAGTCTTCAATCCACAAATTTTTATGCTGTTCTATTTAGTCTATTGTGGGATTCTGAACTCTACTTTTTAATTCCTTTATTGAGTTTTTCAACTCCAAGATTTTCAGTTGGTTCTTTGTTCATGATCTCTGTCCTTTTAATAAATTTCTCATTGAAATAAGAAACTGTTTCTCTAGTATTTTTTAATTGTATATTTTGTACCTCATTGAATTTACTCATACACCACTATTTTGATTTTTTTCAGGCAATTCATTGACTTCCTTTTCTTAGGGATCCATTGCTGGAGGTATGTTCCCTTGCAGGCATGACTCTCACCTTACTTTTTAAAGCTTTTTATTTCCTGGCAATGATACCTACAATTACTGCACATGTATTCCCTTTCTTAATTTTTTCCAGTTGGAAATGTGATATAAATCCAGGGTAGTTTCAAAACTTTGTGCCCTAATTATCCCCCTGAAGAGCTGGGACTGTAAGTGTGTGCTTTGCATCTGGCTGCCACTGTTAATTTTGCTGGTTTAAAAATATTTTAGTTGTTTTTTATTGTTGTGCTGGGTGAAAGTACATTGTGATATGTACAAAAGTTTTTACAATACATCAAATATATCATACAGGAATTCACCTTGTTCATCAGTCTCCTTTCTCCCCACTTTCTCTATTCCTGGAACAGGTATAGTTTTCCATTTACATAACATGTACAAGGTATTTGCACTATACTCACCCTTCCACACACTTTCCTGCTTACTCTTTCCTCCCACTGGCACCATCCAACCCAGAGAGAACTTGTTCATCCCTCCTCTTCTCCAAAATTGTAAAAGAAAAAAATGACATTGTTGTTTGTTTTAGACAGCTACACAATGAGTTTCATTGTGTCATTTCCAGCTAAGTATGTATGGTGACTCAAATTAACTTATCTCCTGTATGTTTCATGTGAATTGCTATAGGGGATGTGTTCTATGATGTTCCTTATCTATTCTATGTTGAGTGTAGCAGTGTAGTGTCTGTGTAGCTTCTTAAATTATCATCAGTGTCAGTCATGCTTGAAGATACTCCACTTGCCTTAGCTTGAGGGGTTTGTGTGAGTACTGCCATCTAGGATGTAACTCTTAGGTACGGCAGATTACCATGTCTCTCAGTTAGGGATATTTGACTACAGGTAAGAGAATCATTAGTTCTTTTTTAAAATTCATTTATTCATAGGTGCATACATTGTTTGGGCCAATTTCCCCCTGCCCCTCTCCCCAACCTTTCCCCTACCCCTCTCACTTCCAGGCAGAACCTGTTCTACCCTTTTCTTCAATTTTTTGAAGAGAAGACATAAGCAATAATAAGAAAGACAAAGCTTTTTTGCTAGTTGAGATA